CACGGGCCCAGCCACTCCGCGGCATGTGGGATCTTCCCGGACCGGGGCACGAACCCGTGTGCCCTGCATCGCAGGCGGACTCTCAACCACTGCATCACCAGGGAAGCCCAACCTTGTGCAAATTATTTAAACTCAGTTTCCTCGTCTATAAGGTGGGGATAATGATGCATATCTGAAAGCCTCATGGTGGTGCTTAAATGAGATAATGCAGATAAAGTTCTGAGCAATGAGCACCAGCACACTGTCCGTGATCAGAAAACATAGCTACCAGGAATTCCCTGGCGGTCCAGTGGTTAGGACTCCACTCTTTCACTGCCAAGGGTGTGGGTTCAATCCCTGGTTGGGGAACTAAGATCCACACAGCACCGCCAAAAAAAAAAAAAAAAAAAAAGAACAAAACTAACAAGCCTTGGCGAGGATGTGGAGAAAAGGGAACCCTGGTACACTGTTGCTGGGAATGTTAACTGATGTAGCCACTAGAGGGGTGGGATAGGGAGGGTGGGAGGGAGACACAAGAGGAAGAAGATATGGGGACATATGTATATGTATAGCTGACTCACTTTGTTATAAAGCAGAAACTAACACACCATGAGAGGCCCGCGCACTACAAAAAAAAAAAAAAAAGATGCAATCACTGATGGAAGTTTGATAAGTTCCTTGCAGGTTTTGTGTCTACTTTCACAAATAGGGATCATGTCGAATATAATAGTTAAGTATTCTGATTTTTCCACTTAGCATTAAAACAAAAATATACGTATGGAGCCTCTTAACACTTTCAGTATCCCATCCACATATATGTGAACCTTTCCCTTTGATCCTTGACCTCTCCCTCCCGCACTTTGGTGCTCACTGGCCCCTGCCCACGACCTCCCAGCCTGAGCACAGCCCCTCTCCCCTCAGGGCGGTACATCTGCACAGCTCAGGGCATGTGGAAGAATGAGCTGGCAGGAGAGAAGATGCCTCGGTGTTTGCCAGGTGAGTGGAAACCCTCCGCCATCCTCTGTGGCCCTGGCAGCCCTGCAGGGCCTCACAGGAGGCATGGCACAGAGAAGGGAGAGACACTTCAGCTTGAAGATGAAGGTAGACAGGGGGTGAGGGAGGAATCAGGAAAAAGGCAAGGAGACGCCCCAGCATTAGGGCAGAGGGACCCAGAGAGCTGGGCCTGTCCCGACATTCCGGGACTTTTCACTGAGCAGATGGGAGATGAGGAATAAAAAAAAAAAAGAGCAAAAGGGACGTCCCTAGCGGTCCAGTGGTTAAGACTCCACGCTCCCACTGCAGGGGTCACGGGTCCGCGGCGCGGCCAAAAGAAGAAAAAGGATAAAAAGAGCGAGAAAAGCCCCAGGAAGAATAAACAAGAACGGGAAGAGGCTGACACTACACCAAAGACGGAAGGGAGGGAGGAGAGAGAAGAAAGGGCCCTGAGCTAAAAAGAGGGGGCGAAGGGGAGGGCACAGCCCGCGGTGCCGGGCGCTGACTTCTCGCCCCCACCCCGCTCCCTTCTCCCCAGTGTGCGGGAAACCCGTCAACCCTGTGGAGCAGAAGCAACGCATCGTTGGAGGCCAGAAGGCCAAGCTGGGCAACTTCCCCTGGCAGGCCTTCACCAATATCCACGGGCGAGGGGGCGGCGCGCTGCTGGGCGACCGCTGGATCCTCACGGCCGCGCACACGCTCTACCCCAAGGAGTACGAAGCGCAGGGCAACGCCACCGTGGACGTGTTCCTGGGCCACGTCAGCGTGGAAGAGATCACCAAGCTGGCCAACCACCCCGTCCGCAGGGTCAGCATCCACCCAGACTACCGCCAGGAAGAGTCCCACAATTTCGAGGGGGACATCGCCCTCCTGGAGCTGGAAAATAGTGTCACCCTGGGCCCCAACCTCCTCCCCATCTGCCTCCCCGACAATGAGACCTTCTATGACCAGGGTCTCATGGGCTATGTCAGTGGCTTTGGGATCACGGAGGAGAGACTTTCTCACAACCTCAGGTTTGTCCGTCTGCCCGTAGCTAAGCGAGAGGATTGTGAGAGCTGGCTCCGGAAAAAAAATAGGAAAGATGTGTTTTCTGAAAACATGTTCTGTTCTGGGGACCCGACTCTAAAGCAAGATGCCTGTCAGGGGGATAGCGGAGGGGTCTTTGCAGTGAGGGATGAGAAAAATGATCGCTGGGTGGCGACAGGCATCATATCCTGGGGCATCGGCTGCAGCAGGGCGTACGGGTTCTACACCAAACTACTCAACTACGTGGACTGGATCAAGAAGGAGATGGAGGAGGAGGACTGAGCCCGGAATTCACTAGGTCAGAACCCAAAGAGCAGGGTGTAAAAAAAGAAAAAAAGATTATCTAACCAGCTGTTGACAACCACTAAGAATCCATATTAAAATCACTGATGCAGAAAGACACTGTGTGAAATAAATTCTCTTTTCTATAATCCCATCCACACTCTTCACCTGAAACAACCCAAAGGTCACCTTTATTCCCTGCATCCCCGCCCCAGGGTTGCAGAAGACCTATTCCACACTCTCTAGTTATCATTGTTCTCTTCCATTTTTTTGTTTTGTTTTGTTTTTGTTTTTGCGGTACGCGGGCCTCTCAGTGCTGTGGCCTCTCCCGTTGCCGAGCACAGGCTCCAAATGCGCAGGCGCAGGGGCCATGGCTCACGGGCCCAGCCGCTCCGCGGCACGTGGGATCCTCCCGGACCGGGGCACGAACCCGTGTCCCCTGCATCGGCAGGCGGACTCTCAACCACTGCTCCACCAGGGAAGCCCCTCTTCCATTTTCATAACCGTCGGGTAATTGAATAGAACTCCTTCCGAATAAAATTTTATGAGAAAGCCCATTGTGTAAAATGAATTAAAAGGAATAAATGAATAAATAATAAATAAATGAATAAAACTTCAGGATAATTGTAGTTTGCCAAGTTTATTTCCGTTCATATCATAAGGTGTTTCAAATAAATTCTTGATTATGTTGCATGGAAAATTGAAAAACAAGAAGAACAGCTATGCAGAAAAAGTAAAAAGTCACATTTTCATAGAATATTTTTCTGATTCTAGAAATCATGGTAAAAGCAACTTTTGAGAATCCGAAAATCCCTCAAGCCCCTTCTGGGCTAGTGCTGTTTCAACTAGCGTCCTTCCCATAAAGTCTTCTTGGCTGCATTTTTTTCCCCCAGCATGAGGACCTGATCCACCAGTCCATTTTCTTCTGACCAAAGAAATGTGACAATTCACCTGCTTTTTTAAAAGTTAAGTCTTTTCCTGAGTTTCAGGTGAAGCACACGTTATTCCCAAGCGACTTGCAACGCCATACAATTGATGTCTTTTAAGCCACAGTGAATGATTTTCTAGCCCTTCTAGGCCTTGGTGATGAGCCTTTCCCAGCTCCAAAGTCTCTGACGATGATTTACTTAAAACTCCTCCCTGCCCCTCACCCAGGGAAATGATCCGGTACTACAGCTAATGATGCAAAAAAACAGACCCATCCTACTGTCCAAGGCAGCAGCAACAAGCGAATCCTTTCACCAATACCTCGGCCCATCCACGAGTGCAGAACCCAAATAGACTAAAGATTCTCTCTGGCAGGGATGGACTTCCTTTTGCTGTTATTTGTCAGATTCCAGGTTGATTTTTTTTTTTCTACTCCTCCAATTATTAAAAAGAAGGAAAATTTCTACATCACAAGCATGTTTCTTAATATTTTTCCAATTTTTTTTTTTTCTCTAGAGGAATCCCCCTTCTCCTGCCCAAAACTCTGTAGTCCAGGGTACACTGTCAACTCCATGGCACATGTAACGACAGGCAGGTAGGGGAAGGTAGTTGGCAGGTGTAGAGTTAAGGAATAAAGTAAATGGCTTTATGCTGCTGGGTTGATTTGACACGATGCTTCCAATAGCTTCCTATTGTTGGGTTTTTTTTTTTTTTTTTTGGCTGCATTGTGTCTTCATTGCTACACACGGCCTTTCTCTAGTTGCAGCGCACGGGCTTCTCATTGCGGTGGCTCCTCTTGTTGCAGAGCACAGGCTCTAGGCATGCAGGCTTCAGTAGTTGAGGCACACAGGCTCAGTAGTTGTGGCTCGCGGGCTCTAGAGCACAGGCTCAGTAGTTGTGGTGCACGGGTTTAGTTGCTCTGCGGCATGTGGGATCTTCCTGGATCAGGGATTGAACCCGCGTCCCCTGCCTTGGCAGGCAGATTCTTAACACTGCGCCACCAGGGAAGTCCCACTTGGTTCTTCAGACCTTTTGATTAAAGTTCTGGTTACTTCATCATGTGTTAACCACCAGCCTAAGGTCAGCTGTTGAATTTTGCCCTTTTGGTTCATGGAAGATCAAAGCCCTTTCTTCATGGGCCACAAATATACCCCTTTTGGCTTCTGATAAAAACTGTTCTCCTGAAAGCCACATGTCACATCAAACAGACTAGAGTGTCCCTGAACTCTTAATCTCAGGCCATGGCTTTCGTAAGACACCTTGTTAGGGCAAAAGCCACCCTAAGATAGCTCTTCTGTCCTCAGTTTAAAAAATACTAATCTCTGCATAGAAAACAAACTTATGGTTACCAAAGGGGAAAGTGGGGGGAGGGATAACTTATGAGTTTGGGATTAGCAGATTCCAAACTACTATATATAACATAGATGAAAAACAAGGTGCCACTATATAGCACAGGGAATTATATTCAATATCCCGTAATAAACCCTAATGGAAAAGAATATGAAAAAGAATATATATATATTCACAAAATTGTAAATCAACTATACTTCAATTAAAAAAAAAATAGTAGTCTCAGGCTTCCCTGGTGGCGCAGTGGTTGAGAGTCCGCCTGCCGATTCAGGGGACACAGGTTCGTGCCCCAGTCCAGGAAGATCCCACATGCCGCGGAGCGGCTGGGCCCATGAGCCATGGCCGCTGAGCCTGCGCGTCCGGAGCCTGTGCTCCGCAACGGGAGAGGACACGACAGTGAGAGGCCCGCGTACCGCAAAAAAAAAAGAAATCCCCCAATTAATGACGCCCCAGCCTCATAGTACTCCCATTCACCTTCCTTGATCTTCCGAGATGCCGCAAAAAAAAAAAAAAAACTAGTCTCTATTGTCTGGGCCTCTTTCACCACTAATCATTTTGTGGGGATGAGGAGTTGTTTGTTTGCTCACTTGTTTGTTTTTCTGTTCCCTTGGAAAAAAGTAGAAGGGAGTCTTTGGGTCCCTCCTCACCAAGACGAGCTATAACATCTCGGTGCAGAGTTCAATCCAGAGAAGACGTTGTTGCCTGACTGACAAATTAACCAAAACCACCAGGAAAGCAGATGAGCACATGCTGAATTTCTTTTGTTTTTCTTTTTCATTGAGTCATAATACTGTATTATACAAATGCACACTAAAGGAAAATTCATTTTCAGGAGACATATTGAAACAATTTATACCACAAAATTTTAGACTGAAAGATCTTAAACAGCCAATTCTAACTGTTGTATGTGGATGTCTGAGTGAGGTTCGAGTACATTTGATGAATTTCAAAAACAGAACACGGTACCTTGTGTTGACGTTACGCTAATCCACAAGACTCTGTAAATGTCAATTGGAAGAGAGGAGAGAAACTGAGTTCCCTGTTTTCATGACAATTAAATATTAGCTGCTAGGGGCCCAAATTTCCAGGACACAACAGCCCATCGCAATCCCTTTCTATGGCGCTGAAGTCTTGATGTGGAATAAGCCAAGTCAGCCAGAACTGGGTTATAAACATGCTTTATTACCGGTAGATAGTAGACACTGATAATGATAAACTGCAAACAGGTAAAGGGGAAACAAAAATCAAGGGTGTGCCCCACAATGAATTGCAGAGTCAGAACTGGAACAGGAGGCAATCATCAGGAAAGAGGGCTCCCGGTGGAACAGTACAAGATAAGCATCCCTTCCCACACTGTTGTCCACAGGACAGATTCAGGGGAGAGGACCCCAGGGACTCCAACTACACTGAATGACCAACACAACGACATGATCAAACCCCACCTCCAACCAGGTATCCCAAAAATCAAGTTCTAGTTAAATCATACTCCCATGTCTTCTCTCAGTCATGGTGAAATAATGGGATTATTGTGAGGAACAGAAAGCAACAGACGGGTCACAGCCCTTAGAGAGGCTGGTGGGATCTGTACTGTTAGCCTACACTGGGGGCACTATTTTCCTGCATCGTCTTCATGATCCAGTCAATATAGTTCTTGACACGAGTGTAAATCCCATAGGTACCGCATTGGGGGCCCCAGGACACCAAGCCAGCGACATAGAATTTGTGGTTCTCTTCATTAGGGACCTGTAGAGCAAAGGCCCCACCGCTGTCCCCTTCACAGCTGTCAACACCCTTCTCACCTCCAGCACAGATCATGTTCTCAGTGAAAACAAAGGAATTTATATCTATTCCGGGATTTAGCCCCTTCAGCTCCCGGCACTTTGCTAAGGGAGCAACAGGTAATTTTGCCCCTCTGAGCCTAATAACATGATCTTTGGTATTTGTTCGGCCCCAGCCTGAGATCAGCCCCAGATCTCCCACTGAGGGGTTGTATTCTGAGGAGGTGCCTGGCAGGCAGATAGGGGAGACGGTGGGTCCCATTTTCACTGGGTCTTGCAGCCGCACCAGCGCAATGTCATTGTCAAAATTCTTCCGTATTTCCGAGGCATCCAGGACCTTCCAACCGGGATGAATAAACACTTTCTCAGCAGTGAGCATCTGGGCCTTTGTCAATTGTGAAGTGACCACTGAGGTAGATCCAACGTACATCACTGGGTCACGGTTTCCCTCCACGGTGTGGGCAGCTGTCAGCACCCAGTGCTCGTCAATGAGAGCCCCGCCAGCCCGGGGGTTTGAGAAGAAGACTTGCCAGGGGAAATTTTCAATCCTTGCAATGGAGCCTCCAAATATCCTCTGTTTTTCTGTAAAGGGCTCACCAGGAACGCCACAGACTAGGGAGGAACAAAGACAAGGTGGGAAGGGAGCAGGGTAGATTGCTGGCCCCCTGCAAATCCTACAGCCACTCAAACATCTGCTGGGCCTCAGCACAACGTAGCCAAATATTTGGTCAACGATCTCAGCGCCTGACTCATCCTGAACTGACCTAAGGACCAAACATTCCACTTTGCCAGTGCCAAAAGCAGGCTTGTGGGAAAGACTGGTTTAAACTGAGGCCGTGTGTGAATTACTGAACCCAAACGAGCCTCACACTATGGACAGCTTAACTCACAGTGTGGGGAGGACACTTCACCCCAGGCTCGGCACATGGGGCCGGGGGCCCAGCTGGGAGCCAGAGCTGGGCAACCCTGTCCTCATACAGGTGT